ATAAAATGGTTAAGGGTTAAAATGAAAAAACTACCAGACATCAAAGGTCATAGAGCACTATGGTAAAATACTGTGGCGAACAGTGTAAAAATGAGTAGAAATAATTATAACAAATGTATTTGGTGAAGGGTGAAGGGCGAAGGGAAGGTATCTATGCGTCTGAGGAAGAACAAATTTTCAATGGGAAAAGTGGGAGATTCTGTGAGGATGTGATTGGGGAAAAGAAGACAAGTGAGAGGTACGGACTGCAGTTTAGCGGGGACAGGACAACAGAAAGTGTGAGACTGAAAAGGGAACCATTATGAAGTAATCAACGGGTAACAAGGAGAGAAAAGGGTGAAGAAGCATGAGAAGAAAGATCTGGGGAATGCGACAAGGGACCAGCGGAAGGTGAAGTATCTGGGAGAAAATCAGGAGGGGAAGGATCCGGGAAAGGATATTGATGTGACAAAAAGGAGTCCAGGGAGCATCGAGGAGAGAGCGGAAGGGATAATGGGGAAAGAAGGCAGGGGTACAGATGGAGAAAGGGAGGATGGAGTATGCTGGGAGAGAGTAAGAGGAAGAGAGGCATGGGGAATACGAGGAAAATGAGGTTGGATATCGGCAGTTACTTTGAATGTAAAGGGAATGGGAGTAGGGAAACTTAAGGATGGATGAAAGAGAGAAGCGTCCCCTTAGCTTATGTTTAGGAACTTTTAGATGTCCTCCAGTTTGCGTACTGATGTTGCGTGAGATCTGAAAACGAGGATTTTCTTATGAGAAGAGGAGACAGATGTCTGGGGACCAGAGGAAGAGGTAGGTGTAGGAGAAAATGGGTTAGGAGATGGGTGGAACATTTAGATTGCGTTTTGCGACAGGTAAAGTGAGGAGGGCCAGGCACCGGTTAAGTGGCAGAGATTGGACTGCATGGATTTAGAATGGCAAACGAATTAGACTGGGAGAGAGAAGAGCTAGAGATCGGATGATACAGGGCAGGGGGAAGAGATACTTGGGGAGATGCAGAGACATCGTGGGATGAAGAGAGGAGTGGGGCGAATGACAGCTTTGGAGTAGAAAAAAAGTAAGAAAAAAATGGTCAGTGTGCTTCCTGTCTGGCCCTTCGTATAGTGAGACCAGGATTGAATCTGATAACTACTACCTTAGACTAGTAGGCAAGGCAGTTAAAATACAATACATTACGGGAGTCACCATAATTTGCACACGTGTGAGATTGTGCATAGTAATTTTGTAAGGTCATGGCTAGGTTGGGCACACAGAGGGCACTGGGTTATGGAGCATGTGCTTTTCTGATACTGACAGGGGAGTTGTCGATATGGTCGGCGAGGGAAGGACTCTCCCACAATATTAACTTTATGGGGGAGGGTATGTCTATAAAGGTAATCTTAGCAAGACTGGTGTATGGCTGTTGTTGGCCTTTGTGGGGAACAGTATAGCACTGTACTGATACTGCATCATAGTCAACGAAGTATGCAAGCTGGCCACTTTCACAGTCTGACTAATCCCTGTAGCATACAGGGCAATCTGCTGAGGAAATGGAAACGGTTCCAGTACAGGTTTTAAGGAAGAAGTGAGGCTGGACTGGAATAGGTTTGCCAGTGAGGTCAGTCAGGGTAGATAATGCACAGGCTTGGGATTCAGATGTAATTGTGACAAGGCATCAACGGTCAAGGAAGGAGGGAGCAGAAAATAAGACTTTGCAGGTAGAGGAAATGGAGTGAAGGATGTTGGGAGTGAGGAAGGGGTATATTCTGAAGGTTGAGTAATGCTCTGGGTGGAAGATTTGGATTGAATCAAGTTGTTAACAACCATCAAGGAGGATGTAGTATTAGCAGTGGTTGGAGCCATGATGAAAGGAGAGTTAGGAGTTGGGAACCTCAATGAAACCTAATAAGGGATAATGGTTAATGCTTTAAGCAAATGAATGTGCTAGACATCATCTAATAAGTGTACAAAAACTTTATTATTGACCATGGTGAGCCTGAATCATATGAGGGAGAGAAACAGTCTACAGCTCAGGCTTCCCAAAATGAGTAAGGGCTAGACGACTAACCAAGGAAATACTGTGCTCATAGCTCCCCAAGACCATTCAGAACTGACACAAAACCATCTGTTCAGCACAGCCCTTATACATTTGGAAGTGGATGGAAGGACTTGGAGAAGAGAAGGAAAAGGAAGGGAGAGAGAAAAAAGTCATGGAAAATTAGTTGAGCCACGTGCTGAGGCCCAACACGGGCAATCCCCAACACTGGGCCGCAGCACTTGTCTCTTATGTACCCCCCCATGATAAGAAAAGGCATGGTGTGTGTGTGTGTGTGTGGGGGGGGGGCATAAATATAAATATCATCATTATGGAAAGCAGAATAACCCTTCCACAACCACACCACTGATTTTCCTACTCTTGCAGGAGGTTGAAAAGTACATAATAACCAGTTTGTTAAATGCAAGTTCTACTTCCCATATCTTTAGGTCATCAATTATGGATCTTACAGACTAAGAGACATTTGGATATTTCAGTGTCTTTATTATCACAGATCCTGATTTAATTTCTACATCTAGGAATATTTCTATAGATCAAGAAAATCAATAGAAGACATTGTTTTGCACATTTTCACCAAAACATAATGTTACTCTCACTCCACTGACTTCAATAACATAATGGATATGCAAAATAATACTATTGAAATATCTAATAAAATAAGAAAGAGACATAAGGTAATGCAGCACAGTTAAAAATCATCCAGCATAACAACACGACCGTGGAACACTATTTTTGACAGACAAAAATAAATGCCAACTGTCATCACCATTATATGTATAATATAATTATCATCAAAAACAATGAAGATACAATGAAGATGAAACATACAAGCTACAGCAATAACAGAAGATGGAGGCTACTAACAGTCACATATGTAATCATTATCAAAATTGCAATCACAAATATAGAGTAATTACAATCTTCTAATCATAGCGTTAATAACTCACATCTACTTAGCATTATAACCATACAATCTATGTTCATGTCATTTTGATAATCATATGACATTGTTATCACGCTCACAGAAGCTATATACACAAATATCATGACTGTCATTTGTGAAAAAATAATAATGTCTATACAATTACCTGTTTTGAAGGTATATACATATTTTTCTAGAGTGATCTTTCAGTGTTCTTATACTGAACAATAACTTTTTTTTTTCCTTAAAACAGGAAAATAATTTTGAAATACTACGTCAGTTCTAAGTGAATGCCATACAGACACTTTCAAAATTATGATGACTGAGTTACGGTTACACCTTACATAATATGCTTGTCAATCTTGTGACAATAACTGAATGTTTAAGAAGTAAAAAAAATGAAAGAAAAAGAAAAAAAAATCATCACCAGGCAGTACACTGGTAACTTAGCTGATTTGTAAAGAACAAAAATATTTCTCAGATGAATTAGACATGACATCCTCTATTTTTTTCGTTTCACTTTTTTCTATTTCAATTAAGGCTAGATTTGACAAGATTCTGAGGTAAGCTAATAAAATACTTGTTCTGAGAATATCTGATAAATTTGTAGTGTTGACTAAATATGATACATATTCTTCTCTATTTCATGTTCAGATACATAGTTTTCATTCCATATCATATTTCAGACCTATGAATGTTTTACTTTTTTCAAAATTCCTCTAACAATGGCAGGCTTTCCTTTGTATCCCATATGCCACTATATGGCAGTCATATGGCTGCACATATATCACTTGATTAGTGTGTTCCAAGTTTTTAAATCTGGGAACAATGCCTAATGGCACTTTACAACTTGTATATATACTGAATTCAGACACGTCTTCTACATCAGATATCTGAAACCGGCATCAGAAAATATTTGGATGAATAAATACATTTTATAATTTCCTTTTCTCTGCCATTTTAGCAGCAGCTTTCTTCTTCATCAAGTGCATCCTTCTTTCAGCCGTGATCATCGAGTTAGAGGGCGCAGAAGATTTCCCTGATGACGATGACGACGATGAGAGAGATGACTTGTTGTTGCCATTGTTGCTGTTCCCACCATTGTTTGTTCCTGCAACAGCTCAGGCAAATCAGATACATGTATATACACAGGTAGTTTTTGACACCAAAAAAGTATGTGCTAAACAACTCTGTTATATTATTCCAAGTGACAATATCATGGAGAAGTAATGTTTAGTATATGCAGCAGTGACAATAGGTAAATTCAAGTGACAAACCACATGAATAAAGAAATATGAAAAGAAAAAAATCATACAGAAACATGTAAGCCAGTAAGCGAGATCCAATTGATAAAAATACTTATAAACACATAAAGTCCACAGAAAAAAATGGTTGTAAGTACCTAAGGCTCTCCCAGAAGCCGAAGAGAGGTTTGTAAAGGGCGAGAGACGAGAGAGACCCAAGCCCTTGGTAGGGGAAGGTGTCGGCCGAGAGAGGGAGCTGCCTGACTTGCTCCCACTGGCCATACTGGGCATTCCGCCACCACTGACACCCCGAGTGCCCGACAGAGTGCCGCCACCAGTAGCACTAACAATACTAGTCTGAGGATGAAGATATATATAGAGACGCTCTTACGAGATAGATATGTAAAGGCAAATATCAGAATTTTGAGATGCCTCATGGTTAAGTTTAACTACAAGGTGTGCCAAGTTGCATAGTAATGTTAGAATGCACATGCACATCTTTTTTTGTTTATAATTTATTGTTTTTGACTATATGTGTCAGTATTGGTATATGTGCTTGTGTATGCACATCTCTTTGTATGTCTGTCTGCTAGCTTGTGTGCAAGTGTACATGAGTGGGTAAATGTGTTTCTTGGTATTTTTGCATATTCAAATATGTTTGCATATGTATGGTCATGTTAGTAATATGTACACTTGTATGTTTAAATATTAGTATAGCTTCCTATTTTACCAATTAATTATGTAGTAAATACAAGTGTAAGCTATATGTTTGTGAACATAGACCCAGTTTATAATTCATAAAAGCACATCCACAGCACCTACTGCTAGAAGGTTTATACAAGCTTGGGAAATCGCTGCTTTTCAAAGGGGGGATTTGCCTCTCCAAAACTCAGAGACAGTTTCTAAAAGATGTAATGAAGGGTGATAAAGGTTTACAAAAGTGGATTATAAATGCCAAGAAATATTTTCTTTTATTTTGACAATAAAACTACTATCTTTAAAAGCAATTGGTAGATGTCAAAAGATATTTCTCCTACTTCAGTTACTACAAATTTTATTTTATCAGTGATACTTGATCAGGAAAAGTATATTTAATGATAGATGCTGAAAGGGAAGGGGATATATCTATCAGTCTATTTTGAGCACTTAAAACAAGTTTATCACCGGAATTGGCTATGCTCCTCGAAATAGAAAGGGGGGAGATTAGCTTAAAGACACTGCTTGTTTGTGTAAAGATGATGTGCTTGAGAGCTCAACTGAACTGGAATATAATGTGTAATGTCGATACACCCAGATTTGAAAAAACAGTAATGGTATAAGCACATAGTCAACATAATCCTACTAAAGCACTTACCTAATCATTATGAACATGGTTGATATGAACACCATAACCTAAACTAGCAAATGGAATCCAGTGTTTATATACTTTTGTACAAAGCCAAAAGATGTTGCTTTGAAACAATACAAAATTTTGCAAGAGAATATCAACAAAAAAGCAATATACCCAGTAACATCAATGAAGAAAATGACGTCTAAACAGAAAAAATTAATTAGAGGCAAATTGACAACACAACTTTTAAAAATTACCTGTTTTTTCAAGGACTTGGCACATTTGGCACAATACCACACTAGACGGGGGTCATTGACATCTTGGTCTGTGACAGGAGGTTTGTGGCACTCCTGGTGGTACAGGGAGTGGCATTCCTGGCATTCCACAAGGCGATTGCGTGGGGTGACCTCAAAGCTCCTGTAGGAGATACATGGGAATGATATTAGTTTACAATAAAATTTGTTAATCTTGGAATTGAATACTAAGCAGATACTGAAATTAAGGGAGGTTGGAGAATGTATAACCTATCTATTTGACACTAAATAATGACTTTGCCAAATCTGACTTCCATTGTAATGTGCAAAAAAAATCTCAAAGATATGTACGTTACATATCCCACTCACTTGCAAACAGTGCAGTTGATGCCATCCATTATCTCCATAGCAATGTCATTCATATCAGTGTCCGATTCGCTCTCGTCTGATTTGCGGCTCCGGGATGAACTCTCTGACTTCAGTGAGGGCGTTGGAGATGGAGTGTGGGATTTGAAGGCACTCGGAGAGTCCAGACGTGGTCTCTTGGCCCCTAGTCCATCATCATCACGCATCTGTAGCTAAAATAATTTTGCTATCATTCCTTCCTTATTTGGGAAACAAAGTATATTGCTTCTCTGAGAATCAAGAATAAAAAAAAGTTGGTTACACACAAAAATGCACAAAAACTTATACACATGTTAACTCATATAAGCACATGCACTTATTTATGTCCCAAGAACATGAGAATGTACACTCATACAAAAGCAAACTAATGCACATATGGAAGTATATAAGTACATAAACCAAAAAAAAAAAAAAAAAGAACAAAAGCTATCATTACACTTATTTTCCTTTCCATATCCTTCTTGATTTCTTCTCGTTTGGATAGAGAGACTGGAATTGGACTTCCTGGCTTGGAACGCGGAATGGGAGATTCCCTCCGCAAGCTGAATGAATCCTACAAATAAAAAGAAAAATACATTGAATAAAATTACAGAAAGGGTTGCAGATACATTTTCTAACAAAATTCAAATAATTCAGGAGTCAAGGTACGTAAATAATGACAACAAAATCATCTAAAATTGATAATATAAAATATAGAGTTCTTGCAATATTTCTTCCCTAATCCAATTATTATTATTAACCCATTCATGAACTGTCTGCAACTATTCTTGAGATAACACACTGGTCTTTGACGGGTAGCAACTATCAAAACCACAGGCAATCCAGACTCTCCATATGTTGTTCTATTGTTGGGTCCAGACTGCAGTTAATGAGGTTCAACCCCTCAAAATAGGCATAACCCACTGAAGCAGGGAGGGCATGTATATACGTAGCATACCAACTGGCTCTTTTTTTTTTCTTCTTTTTTTTTTAACACATACATGGCACCACAGGTGCTCACCCATACGTCCTACTTGATCTTGACAATAATATAATTATTATAATCATGAATATCAATATAAAGAGCAACAATATTTCAGTATTAGAAAAGAAATCCCAAAATTCAAAGAATGGGGAAATTAGTAAAGGAACTTCAAATTCACAACACAAAGGTACAATGGACAGAACATCATCATCACATATATTGTACAAAATAATGAATTCAGCTCGAACAAATTTAAAACAAGTCAGCATTTTATTGTATATACAAAAAACATTAGTTCATAAAAAATCTTTTCTTATTAAAATGCAGAGATCTAAAACATGCAGAAAATTTGTTGTATCAAATTCCGTGAATCTCATCTTTTTCACTTTAAAATCCTGCATAACTACAAAATAATGTTTAATGTTTAATGCTTGAAACTAGACATCAAAGGTCCTATACCACTATGGTAAAGTATTGTGTGGGAAAGGGTAAAGAGGAGTTAAAGATTACAATAAAATGTGTTAGATGTTAAAGATTAGAGAGCATTATAGGATAGTATGGTAGGGAAAAGGGAAAATTAATATAAATTAATAGAAAGAGGAGGGTTTAAGGGGTAGGGCAATTGAGTGAATTACAGTGTATCTGTCACTGGGGTAGGTATAGAAACAATGTTCAAGGAAAACAGGGATGGCTGTTGGAAAAGTAGAAGAATCCGAGGAGGGAGTGTTAGATGTCAAAGATTAGAGGGTGTTACAGGAAAGTATGGTAAAGGGAAAAGAAGGAAGTAAATGAAGTAGAGCAGGGATTAGTAAAATGTGAAAGGTTAAGGGGGTAGAGGGATTGAGTGAATTGCATTGTATCTGTGACTGGGGAAGGAATAGGGACATTGCTCAAGGAAAACAGAGGTGGCTGTTGGAGAGGAGGGGTTAGGAGGAGAAAAATCAAGGGGATGAGAAAGGGGGTCTGGGGAAGGTGGTTAAGTATCAGGAAGAATGTCTGGAGTGGAGGGGTCTGGAGAAGGACACTGTTGTGATGGGATTTGTGTGAGTATTAAAGTGGGAGTCGTAGAGAGGGGGGAGTATGTTGGGAGGGTGTAGGAGAAAGGGGGTGGAGGGAACTTGAGGAGGAGGAGGATAGATATCTGCAAATACTTTAATTATAGAAGGAGTATGAACAAAGGGATTGGGGGGTATATGAGGGAGAGGAGTGTTCCCCCCCTGGTGGCTTCTTAGGAAGTTTTAGATGTCTTCAAGGGTTTCTGAAGAGGACAAAAACAAAGGTTCTCTTATGAGGAGGAGTGGAATGTTTAGGTTGCCTGGTGCGACAAATAAAGTGAGCAGGAGAGGTAGGTGCCAGGAAGAGGTAGAGATTAGAGTATCTGGATTTAGACTGGAAAACAAAACTGACTGGGGGATTGGGTGAGTAGCCATAGGGAAGAGATACTAAGGGAGATACAGAAACATCTTGTGAAGATGGTGGGGGAGTAGAGTGAAGGATTGTTTTGGAATAAGTTGTGAGGAAAACTCGTCATCATGCTTCTTGTCTGGTCTTATGCATAGTGAGGCCTAGTATGACTCTGAGGACTGCTACCTCACATTTGAGCCTATAGGCAAGGCAGCTCCTATGTATGTGACTGAGCAGAGCAATTTGAATGATCATGACCAGGTTGGGCACATAAAGGGCAGTGGGCTGTGGTGTGACAATATTTGGCTGGGTGGCTAAAGCGCAAACATTTCTGACATTGACAAGGAAGAGGTCAATATGGTCATACATGGTAGGGCAATCCAATATAAACTTCATGGGGGAGGTCATGTTTATGGAAGCTAATCTTGGCAATACTGACATGGGACTTGTGCTGGCCTCTGGGAGGAACAGTGTAATACTGTGCTACCACTGCATCATAATCAGCAAGGCCCCCATGGCAAGGTCATTTTCACAGTCTGACCAGTCCTTGTTGTAGATAGGACAAGCATTTGGGGGGATAGAAACAGTTCCAGTACAAGTATTAAGAGAGGGGTGAGGTTCAGCAGGAATGGGTTTGCCAGTGAGGTCAGAGTAAATAGTGCACAAGCTTGGGATTCTGATGTAACTGTGACAAAGCATGAACAATCAGAGCGACTGAGAAATGTAACCTTGCCTACTTGTTTTTGGAGGCATTGTTGAAAGAGAAGGGTATTCTCAGATAGGGGGCTGTGGGGGGAATCACAAAGAATCAATCCCACTTGGCTGGGCCAAAGAGAGTACTCAAAAGGTTTGCAGAGGTAGAGGTAGAAGAAGGACAAAGGCGAGAGGAACATGGGGTGGTGTGGAGTGGAGTAGTCCTGTGGGGGAAGCACAATAAGGATGAAGAGTAGTAATAAGGGAAGAGGGGATAGATATTGATGAGGACTGTGCAGTAGGAGATGGATAGGAGAATGTTGGGAGAGAGGAAGGGGTGCTTTCTGGAGGTTGAGTAATAACCTGGGTAGGTGTTTTGGAATGGATTGAGTTGTCAGTTAGCACTGAGGAGGGGGTATTAGTATGAGTGGTTGGAGATGTGGTCAAAGGAGGGGCAGGAGTCGGAAGACCATTAAAATGACCCTATTAAGGGTAAAGAATCTTCCTTATTGGCCCTAGTGAACCTGAATAAAATAGTCCCCATAAGGGATAAAGGCTAGGCAGTTAACCAAGGGAATACTGTGCCCAAGGCTCCCAGAGGCCATTCATGACTGATACAAAGCCAGCCTTTCCTCCTTTCAGCATGCCTCTCACACCTTAGGAATGGGATAGAAGAAGGGGATGAAGAAGATATGGAAGAGGAAAGGGGAGAAGAAAAGACCAAGCAAAATTAGTTGAGACGAGGACTGAGGCCCAAGGTAAGGGTGACCCCCTACATTGGGCCTTAGTCTCTGTCTCCTGAGCTCTCCCACGTCAACAATGAACAAGGCATTGGGAGGGAGCAATAAAATAAATGTAGTCCAACTACTCTTTTCATAAAAAAAACATTCCTATTCATCCTTCACTAAGCATCAGGAAAACCTTCCTCAAAACAATATTGAGAACAATTACAATCTGTAGCTTGAGCAGATTCGGATTATAATGAATATTTCATGATACTTCTCATGCATTTTAGTGTTCTTTGAATATAATTCTGAATCCAACTACTGAGAACCACATGACAAATAAGAGGAAATAGGAATTACCTGAATAAAATCAAATATGGATTATGTGTTATCCCACTGGTAAATACCCAATAATGTGTACAGCCAGAGTCTGTATCATCCATCAAAATCAAGGTAATAACTCAAATCCATATATTACTTTTTAATTACATACTATATTTAATGTCTTGACCACAGTAACATCAGCTTATATCTTCTATATAGCATATGTGCTCAAAAAAAATATGCAAGTTACCCTAACAACCTTCATAGAAAATTCAGCTTTTCCCTTACACGCAATCTCATTAATTAACTTCAAGCTCAAATAAAAAGATAACTGGATTTCTTTTCCTATCAAAAGATAAACTTTTACAAAAACCACACATTGCATTAGTTATGTACCCTCACGTATATTAAATATTAACAAGATGAAAATTTGGTTAAAAAAAAAATAATAATAATAATAAAATAAAATAAAATAAATAAATCAATAAATTAAAAAAAAAAAAAACATATAATAAGAACTATTTGATGAAATATGGATGAACAATGTTATACTTATGGACCTTCTTTTCTTTTTAGTACAAAAACAAATATTTCACTCCCTAAATTCTTAGATATCATAAATTACATAGAAAAAAGTATTGCAGATAATATCATGTAACAACACTAATCATTAAATGCAATCAGGCAAACAAGACCCTTTTTTTGTTGTTGTTCCGTGGATAACACAGAAAAGTGGCAGGTTGTAGTACAAGGAACCCAATGAATATTCATATATACTGACATGCATATACACAAAAATAAATGCATGTATGTCTCTCTGTTTGATAGATATACATTCATCTGTTTGTCTATCTGCTATATGCATGTGTAAACTCACAGATATGTATTTATTGCTATGTATATGCATGTCTGTATATATGAATATTAATTTGGTCTGACCTCGCATAATTTAAACAAACCAGTCAACACTCCACCATAGGGTGAACTTGTAAATCACATGATAAAGTCCTTACAGAACATTTGATGTTCATTCCAATTCTGCAACATCTTGTATTCAGACTTCTGTTATTACGTCAATGTAAGTAAAAATGCATCATAAACAAACAACTTCAAAATTCCAACTGTGACTGCATAAATGCGCAATACCAACTAAATGAAATGATGGCATGGTCATGGAATTTTCCCCAAAACTACAGCGGGCCAGGAGGTACGTTGATCACTGCAAGAAGGTGAAGTGCAGAGGAAATGGTCAACAGATTTGCAGAATTATGAATTTTGGTTATCAATTGTGGCTATTCCTCTCAGTGCCTATGGTACCTGTTTTATGTGTGCAAGAATTCTTTTTCCCAATAACTATTATGTATAATTTCCCAAATAGGGTGAATACTTTGACGGTAATTCTTTACAGTATGGACGCATTCGCCAGAGTCCCCAACTCCACGCCAAAAATTTATTCATCAATCTAAGTTGCCGTGACTGGTAAGGGAGGGTTGATGGGGGGCTCTGCCCCCAACACCATCTGGGAAACATTGTCTTCACCTCGGTATACACGGTAAGATTGAGCTAAATCTTGGGAGCACAAAGTGGACTTTGGCTGTGAGCGGGGCTTCCCACGATCTTTTCTCTTTATTTGTGGCATTACAATTCATGTCTGCAGATTTTCTATTGCACTTATGACTGTAATTTCTTATCCTCTACAAAAATGCCATATTAAATTTGGCCTAACTTAGAGCATCCATACCATAAAGATTAACTATTTTCTTCATATTAATTATTTGTTTCAGACTTGTTGAATTTCCCCAGTTTATGAAGCTAGGGAGTCATACTGATTACTTGACCCCTTTTTGCTCAACCTAAAACTCATAGACCTTCTATCACAAGTTAAAGCAAATTTCAAGTGGGTTTAGAAAGTACATAAGCAATATGTCTCTTCTGAAAGCCACTGTTGGTCTCTTTTAAACAATTACTGATCAAATATATGAACAGGACAAAGAGGTTAGGTACCAACTCACCAAGACTGAATTAGATAACTAATAATTGAAATGAGACTAAAAAAATAATAATTACCTAACATCTTTTAAAGAATAATAAAAATGAACACAAAACCTCGACAACCTCCTCACCATATGCACTGGCTTTCCCTGCCGCTGTCGTATGGCCTCATCAAGCAAGGCCTTCAACTGGTCCACGGAATCCC